CTACACAGTTTCTTTTAAGCCGTGGATGGATGAAAATCAAATCTACGAATGGCATGATGCCATGAGCTACCCCTTTTTTTGGGTTAGAGTGCTCCAAATACCTGTGTCAGTTCTTCCCCATATTCAGGGAGCGGTCAGAAAGGCGTTTGGTGAAACACTGCGTATCTCGCCGGCGTTTTCAGACCCAGTAGCCGCGGATCTGTGGACGATCAGATTCGACCTTACCCCATCAGCCAAATTGAATTATAAGAAGCTATTAATAGTGGACATGGGGGAGTATGGGTTCGTGGAGCTTGAGGTCGCATGTGCTGACACACCTTGGTGTAGCCAGTGCAGACACTTCTTCCACACGGACGCAGATTCCGAATGCCCGCGAAATGCCTCATATAAGAAGGTGGTGGTGAAAGGTAAGGAAACAGGGGACAAAAATGGCAAGAAGAAGGTTGGGAGTGGGGAGGAGAAGTCCACGGAAAAAGAGAAAAGTGAAGAGGATCTCCCCCCCCCTCCCCCCCCACCCCCTCCCCCTCCCCCTCCCTCTCCCCGACTCATGACCCGAAGTTGCGTCAGAAGAAGCAGTCGGCAGGGAAAGAGAAGCTGAAGTGGAAAAAGAAAACCAAAGGACGCAATGGCCAGTTCAACAGAAGGGGTTAGTTGAACGGAAAGATAGGGGAGGGAAAAGAGCGGAGGGAAAGGGTGACGAGAAGGGTAAAGAGAAAGGCGAATCATCGAAGTTGGGAGAGGAGAGGAATAAGGTCTTGGAAGACAAGGACGTGCAGATGGATGACAAGGTGGAAGAGAAGGCTTTGAAAGAGGTGGGAGAGAAAGTCGAGCAAGAAAAGACGAACCAAGAAGTGGTGGGGGAGAAGGAGAAGGAGAAAGGGATAGAGGAAGTGGTTGAAGACGTTTTGGGCCTCATGGATTTAGTGGAAAATCTGGATCCGGAGGCTCCGGGGTTCAACTTTGTCGCTACAGACCCTCTTCCACAGGCCCAACCCTCCCCCTCGGAGCAGGAAGCGAAAAGTCTTGGGAAGTCTGAGGGAAAAACAGTGCCTGCAGAGGGTGATCTGCCACAGGAAGATGGTGCTCCCCTGGATGAAGTGGAAATTGACCGGCTGCTTAAGACGATAGATTCGTCCATAAAGGGAGATGATCATCCCAAGATGGGGAAAAAGAAGAAGAAGAGTGCCCCGAGAGCTCAGGTGGGGCTGAGCAATGGCAAACGGGGGTCTGGTCCCTCTCTCTCCAAACCGGATCCGGCAAAAAAAAGTAGACTGGAGGACGGCTCCAGCTATTACCGGAAGTATTTCGACTTCGATCCGGAACAGGAAGGAATCTATTATCCTGAAAGTGATGGGCACTGTAACCCTCTTGCAGGAGCCCAGGATGGGCAGACATCTGGTAACAACGCAAGAGGAAGGGAAAAAGGTCCTACACTTTGCATTTCTGAGATTAATTTCTTTGGAAGGATCCAAAGAACAGTGGCTTCAGACACAGCCCCACATTGGATCTCGGTAGCCCCCTTCTTTTCTGCAGATATGGACGTACTCAAAAGAATTAGAATGGGTGGCAACCTCGATGCTCAGCAAGTAGCAGAATGGCTAAACAGGAGGTGCAAACAGGAGGTGCAGCTCCCCACCAATAGATGGATCTTAATTAAAAAACAAAAAAGAATGGCTAAACAGGACGGACGCTCAGCAACAAATTCCATCGAGTGGCCCGGTCCTCCATGATTGGGCTACGGACTCCTGTACAGGGGAAAGACCTGATGAAGAAATGGTACTAATGAACGGAGTTGCCTCAGACACCTGCATCGAAAATTCAAGCGGCAAAGACCAGTTGGATGGTCTTGCCCAACAGGATTAGAATCCTATCTTGGAATGTCAGAGGTATGGGTGATACATCAAATCGAAATAAAAAAGGCTAGCTTGGATGCTTTTCTGCACTCAAAAGACGTCCACATCGCTTGTTTGCAAGAAACCAGGCTCAACTAAGAAAAAATTGAGGCGGCTAGGAACTGGTGGAAGGGGCCACAGTTGTGGGCCCCTGCGGAGGGTTCGAAGGGAGGAGTGGAGATTCTCATTAATAAAGACGTAGATGTAGAAGTTATTGATCACTTTGTTGATCCCAAGGGGACGGTGGCCTGGGTTAAACTAGCTGTGGAAGAAGAAGATTGGGCTATTATGTCGATATATGCTCCAGTTGAATACAAAGAAAGGACCAATTTCTTTGCTCTGCTCCCCTGGTGGATTCCAGATGTGGAAAATCTGGTAATGGGCGGGGATTGGAATACTATTTTTAACCCTGGTCTAGTAGACTCACCTAGTCCTTCCCGGATTAGGGAAGACAGGCTGATGCTCTCCTCACTAATGGATGCTCAGAGTCTGCATGATGTGTATAGAGTGGTGAATCCCGATTCCAGTGGTTATACGTGGGTTGGTCCACGCCCCTCTTCCTCGGCCCCACAGCCCAAAAGAAGACTTGACTTCTCACAATTTTCACCTTTCAATATCCACCTACAACTACTCCTATGCCTACGCAGGGGACCCCTGCAAGCATAGCTACCTCCCACAATTAAGGGGTTGCATGTTGGCCCCCGCCCCAATCGGCGGTGGTCACTGGTCAGGGAGCAGGGTGGGGCTGCCTGTGGGGGGGACTGGCTAGACCAAAGCAAGTAGCTGCGCCTCGGATCAACTACCCCCACTTCCCATCGAATAGCACCAGGGCCGTGGTCCCACTAGCAAAGAGGATCGGATAGAAATCCTGAATCTGGCCATGTTGTATGCACAGATACAGAAAAGCAGTTCGATCTCGATTTCCTGCTCC